GGAAATGATGACGTCAGTGGGGCAGAGTGTGTCGCTTGGTGTATGGGCGGTTGAAAACGCGTTTGGCCTAGTCGCTGCGATCTGGAGCGATTCGCAGCTTCAAAGCATTGTAATAAATTACACAGTTTACACAGAGAGCTCAAATCAGGCTCTAAATTAATCACTCTGGGACTTGGATGTGTTTGTAAAAAATTGTCAAAACCGTTTTACGGTCCCTTTAATGAGGTTTTATGGTAACGAGCATTGAACGTGTGTGTATGCATGCCCTGCTATGAACTTCATGCTACAGGTAGCATGTTAGTGCAATATCCTTTTCTCTGTCACCACATCTGTAATGTCGCCGCATCTGTACATAATTTTTTTGTTTATTTTTTGGACTTATTACTTCTCTATTAATGATTTGTAAAATGAGGATCTGTTGAACTTAAAGGTAAATTCTCTTACTCTGTGTGTTATTGAAAGATTGTACGTGCTACAAACACAGAGGTAGCTGCTCCAAAAGCACATTTTGCCTGCTAAAATGGCTGCTAGTCACAATTATTCTTTGGAGTGCTTGCAACGGATTGGATTGCGAGACGGGAGACGGGCGTGGCAAAACTAACACACTTCATAAAAAGGATGAACCAAACTAACAGGCAGAATTCACGTTAAGCACTAAAAAATTAACCTAATAAAGCAGGCTATACAGTAGACCCTCAATAAACGGAACCTGAAGGGACCGGGAAAATGTGTTTTATTTAACAGAAATTCTATTTACCAAGAGATGAACATGGGTACAGAATACAAGCACGAAACCAATCATTGCTTAGGCAATAGTTTCACTTAAGCACTAGTTTAGTTTAACAGATTTCCGTTTACTGAGAGTTTACTGTATATACGCCAGTCTGCTACAGACTGAAACCAAAACTAACTACAATATGTGTTAGAGCCAACTCTAGCCCTATCCAACATCTATGTAAGATGGCGTCTCTGTAATGAAATGTTCTTACAGTTCATCGAGTTGCCACGTCGACGTCCTCGTCCTGTTTCTCCGAACGAGCCACACGACCGCATTGCCATTTGGTTCCTGTCATCGTCGTCTTCTCTGGCTCTGTTAGGCTACGCCTAAATCGTCAATGGGGTCGTGACTGTTGTGCGGGCTGCATCCGTTATGGCTAAAAGCGGAAGAGCTGTAGTAGGCCTACCAGGAACTTCGATGCAAGGTTGTGGGGGTCCTAACACCCCTTGTAAAGTTGATTGCGCCTCATGGTGCTGGTGTCTAGCTCATAGACCGCATTTCGGGGTCACAACTGCTGTGCGGAGGGGGGCGTTGTGTTCGGAAGCATTTATTATCACCACCATCATCATCATGGTTAGTGCGTAGCCCTGGCAGTGCCGCCAGGCATCACTGCCGGTGCTACACACTAACCATGATGATGATGGTGGTGTCCGGGCAGCCTCTTTCGCCAACATCCTTCAGAACCGGGCAGCTCTACTGCTTCCGTCGCTGTAGCAATGCTGACCTTCCGACCTTCGCGTTTCGAAGCTCCACAGCACAGTGCCAGCTCATCCTCTGTGATTTCCCATCACAGCTCAAGTCGTGTGCCACGAGCCTTTTTCCGACCAATCTTGTACGTGAACGAGTTGCGTCTGCCCACCATCGGGGTTTCGCGCATTGCGCTGTATTCCAGCGCCCGGCACATTCCTTGTTCCTTCTTACTCATGACATTGGCCACCTTTATAGAGTTTTTTCTAAAAAAAACTTCTCTTGTTCATCCTTCCTGTTATCTCGGCCTTTGTTGTTGTGTAGGTGTCATGACTTGTGGCCAATCGTGCACGGGTTGGCTCGTCACCTTCCGTTGCCACATGTTTTCACTGATATTCACTTGCCACGATATCACACTATCACACACTTTCACCAGCACTCATGAAACACTACACGGACACACTTACAAAAACAACGGCACTGAGTACTCAACACTTAGTATTCCAAATATCTGTACAATTTCATATCTGAAGAACCCTACTCCACATAAAGTCATTAATCAGTTTACCTAAAACATCTTCCCCTTCATGCAACTTATATTCTTTCGGAAGAGCAGGCCCTTGTTTGGTACAACATGCTTAAACCTGTGTTTCTTTACATTCTGCATCTTTTTCAACTTCCTGCGCATATTCACTATCCACCGTCTTGAGCGCTCGCTCCAGCGGATCCTACTATTTCCGTTCACTCGATGTCTCTCCAAACCAGCTTTCCTCAGTTACATCCTAACTTTCATGACCCTCTCTGCTTCCAAATTTTTGAAACCCACTTTATGCGTTTCCACAGCATGGTTTCCTTTCGTCTTACTCGTCTGCTACCTGCAACCGTTCCCGCGTCCTGATAACTGCCTCGACTTTCTAATGCCTTTGGAGCTGTCTGCGTTGCCCCTACTTCACTGCGTTTAACACCATGCTTCTTGGGTGCTCCTTTCTGATTCTCTCTGACACTCCTTTCTGGTTTCTCTCTGGCAATATCGCCATGCTTTTTTTTTCTCGATATGTGTTGTGTGCTCATCAACGAAGTACTACGCCTTGCCTTTTTAATATCTGGAGGTGTCACATTCCCTTCTTCGTTCCCTCTTCTATACCACTGGCATACAGTTCTCTAACTTGTGCCTCACTATAACTATCTGCCGCATCTGAGCTAATTTTCTTCAGTTCATTGCTTGCGAACTTCATCTGACTTGCATTTCTTGCCTGCTCATTGCCTTTTGGCTCAACCGAATCTGAACTTTGTTGATCGGGCACTGTAACTGCCCTCTGTTAAACTTCGGTGGGACTTATCTCGTCTGATCTAATGCATCCTTTGGCTTGTGCCAATTGCAGTTTGCGCTTGAGTTCCAGTTTTTTTCGCGCATAAGCTTCAAGCATTTCTGTAGGCTTTGCTTCGAGTTCAGCTTGTTTTGCCCCGAACTCCTATTTAAGCGTTATCTCTAATCTTCAATGAACTTTTAAGTCGTCCTCCTTACTGAGCTTTCGCTCCCTGATGACTCTCAGTATCTTCTCCCAATCCATCCTTGCAACCTCCAGCGATAAAGTGACTGGGCCACACAAGGGAGAAATCCTGGCAGGCTCTCCAATTAATGTCTCGATTTTATCTTGGGAGCGCTTGCGAAGGGCTTGATTGAGAGAAAGACGCGAGTGGGAGGTAACACGGCAAACACATTTTAATATTAAACAAAATGGCAAACAGTAATCTGACACTCACACTTCACTTCCAAAAAGAAACATGTCCATACACAATAATTGGCTAAACAACAATACCATAATCAACGCTGATCTATGTCAAGTTCGTCCTAAGCGCTAGTATCTTCCTAGCCAAGATGGCATCTTGGTAGCTACTCTCATGCGCTCTTGCAATATAGTAGAATATTCTTGCTGTTTCAATGCCACCCTCGGAGCTACGACGAAGTGGTATCGCCTCGCCGTCATTGTCGTTGGCAACGCGTCCGCTTGACGTTCCACTCGTCGTCGTCTGCATTGCCGGCGTCCTGGTCTTATTCGTCATCTCTGGCCCCCTTGGTCCAACCCAACTCATCCATAGCCTCATTGCTGACACACTCCGATGACTGGTGCGAGTCGCATTCGTTCTGGCTCGAAGTGGAAGAGCTGTAGTCCTCACAAGAACTGCCTTGCAAGGTTCCGGCAAGTCCGGGCATCCTCATTCAAGACCTCCGAGGTGGATGGCCACTTCCCGGGTTTCTTACGCCGACATCCTTCAAAACCGGGCGGCTCTACTGCTTCTGTCACTGTAGCGACGCTGACCTTCTGACATTCGTAGTTCGAAGCTTCACAGCTCATCCTTCGAGATTCTTCATTGGGTCGCGTATCACAAGCATTCTTGTCCAATCTCGTACATGAACGTGGCGCGTATGTGCACCATCAGGGGCTTTGCGCACGGGCATCACATTTCAGTGCCCGGCACGTGCCTCGTACCCTCTTACTTGTCACGCTGCTCCGAAATGCTGAAAAGCATTCCCACCACTGTAATCCCTGAAAAACATTTCTGCCTGCTCCGAAGGGGCTTATGCTAGTAGCATGGTTGACATGAATACAGCAGAATCTAGAACAGGTTCTTTTTAATTATCACTGACACCAAATTTGGAAACTCGTGATGCTGGTGTTGTTTGATAGTCGTTCATGCAGGCACTTCTGACCGATAATTAATGAAATGACATGTGTTGCCTATAAGATATTTTAATTCAGTTTTAAAGAAAGGGTGCGTGCTCATCCGAGTATTCAGGTCCGCTCGGCATTTTCTGTGGTTTGTAGACATGAGCCCCCTCATGAAGTTGCAAAGGTCAAGCAAATTTGGGGTCAGAGGACATTTACGGGGTATGCACAATACCCCACCTGGCACCCAACGAGTACTATGGTTTGCCACTCCTCTTGCTGTGTTGTCAGCTGCCCTCAATGTGGTTTTCTCTGCTTACGCGAGGGATGCTTTTCTTTTTTCTGAGGGGGACATGCTCAAAGCACCCACATTGTGTCATTCTTCACCGCCCGCCAGTCCCTCTATTTGAAAGCAGCACGTTCAATGTCATTGAAGCTTGGGTGAACGTACCTAGTCTTAGGTGCTGCCTCACTGTGGGGCGTTAGTTTTTCATGGTATTTGGCAAAAGTTTCATACAGATTCAAATTCTTTTCATTAGAGCATTTACGATTCAATTTCAGAATTACCATATGCAAAGTTTCGAACTATTGTAAAAAAGTTACAAACGATATTTTTGCTGCCAAAGGTCCTTTATTTATGTTCAGTATATTCAAAATGTGTACATGATATTTTGGAGCTTGGATGATTCAGTCCAGGTTGAAATTATGCTTTATTTTGCTGTATTTGTGTGGTGTTTTGCTGGTTTTTAATGTTGAGATTCAGGCATATGCCAGTTTTAAAAAGTCATATATACAGAATATTGCTATAATGATGCTAGCATTATATTTTTGGTGCATCGTTAATGCAACAGGCTAGGAATTTGCAGGCGCAGACACCGTCTCCTGCAGCACCAGAAGTTGCCCCCAGCCAACCAGATGTTGAGCATTAGCTCGAATGTTGCGACACCTCAATAAAAAAATACACTGATATAAATTAACTTCAAGGGGTCCCTGCAACACTTCACGAAGTAGGCTTCGAATGGCTTAATTAAAGAGTACTGCTTCAGAAATCGACCGCTGCAGAAGTTGTTTTGTTTTTTTTTAATTCGTCATGTGCGAGCGGAGTTGCAGATTTTTCGCACACTGTAGTTGGTTTTCTTAAGTCTCTACAAGCGCACTGGAAGCAAAGCAAAGAAGGATGGCACAGGGAAAAGAAGTTACGTTATGCGCATTTCATGACTTCTTTCATTTTTCTTTCCTACATGCAACTTATTTTCAGTGTGATCAAAAGCGTGTGCGTGGCCATGGTAACTCTGCACTTCACGTTGCTTAAGTCAGTCAGTGGCCGTGAATTTTTGTATATGGCATTATTTGTAAAAAGGGAACGATTGGTAGCTGTAGATGGTGGTGATGATTAAAATAACACAGTAGAGTCGGGAGCTATTCGTAGCCCCAGCAATTGTTTGCCCCCTCGCAACTCACTGTAAGACTTTTTTTAACACTAACCCCCGGCATGTTCGAATATTGGGGGCTTTAGCAAAAGCCACTCTCAAAACAGCCACTGTACACACCATCGTACAGCGAACATTGTACAGGGCATTTATTAGCAGAATTCACACAGCGAGCCTATCAGCCAAACCTTACATATAACTACAGTAATATGGCAAATAATCCAATATAATGTCAATATAACAAACAACCTAACATACACAATGCATCACTAACATAGTATCGCCGGCATTAGACTATGGGAGTTTGTGAGACCGAGCTGCGGGAAAGTATCCATGGACCTCCCTTCCGCAAGAGACGACAGTCGGCCCGCTTTCCGAGCCCGAAATAGTCATTGCTGTTCCCGATGCACTCGCCTAACCTTGCCGGCATGGTCGCACCACAGTAGGAGCAGCATTGAGTACATGGAAACAGCGTCGAGTACGCGAACTATGCTGACCAATCAGACACATGTGCACCATGAGGCGAAAAAGGCTTTACAGGGGTAGTAAGTAGCCCCTCCCATATAATCGGTTAAATGTGCTATGCTTGTAACCAGTAAAGTGCAGCTGCTTCATAGTCAATGGACTGTCAACTGCAGAATCTTCGCCCTGTTCTTTGCAGGGAAAGCTAATCAGCTTGCCATGTTGTGATTGTGTTCACAGCGTAAATTCATTAAAAATTCTAGTCTTAGCTGTTTAAGCATTCCAGTGTTCTGCTAGCCTCTGTTCCCCCCCACCCCACCCCCCCTTTTTTTTTGTGGGACATCAGAGTGAAATTTCAAGCCAAAGTATTGCTGTATTAGAACAGTCCCACAATTGCTTTCTAATGGGTACAGTAAAATCTCGATAATACGATCATGGTTGATGCGAATTTTGCGTTGATACGGATTTTAAGGCTGTCTTGGATAGACTACATTATATAAAGTATGGCGTGATTCAGTGTTATATGAATGGTTTCCCCAGCTACTGCAGATAATATGAATGTGCTCTTGACCCCTACACGCCAGCAGCGCAGCGCGGCTTGTCTGTGTGAGGAAGGCCCGTTCACTCTTGGCCTCGAAGGGAGTGAATGCGGCAAAACTCGCTGGAATTTTTCTGGCTTCAGGGGCCGGGAAAACATGCCACGAGGCCTCCGAAAAAGAGGAAAAAAAAGAAAAAAAAAGTCCAACACCATTTTTTTTTTTTTTGTCACGCGACAGCATATCGCTTTTTTTGCCTCATGGCTTTAGCGACACTGGCGGCTCTAGCTCTCAAACCACTTGATGTAAGCAACCAGCCGGCTTTAGCGACACTGGCAGCTCTAGCTCTCAAAACACTTGATGTAAGCAACCAGCCGCTAATTCAACATGGTGGCAAATGCATCTTCGGTGGATTGCATCGCTGCTATCGCGAACTACCCGTGCAGCCTGTCAAAGCTCACGGTCTTGTCAAGGACTCGTTCATCGAAAGCCTGGTTTCGATTACGATTGCTGAGAACACCGGAGGTAGAAGGAGGTGCAGCAATAGAGAGTCGACGCACCCTAACGTGCCTCGCTTTTGCACAGCCGGCTGAATCAGTCGCCGCCGCTGTGTCTGCTTGTGTTGTTTCTGACTGATATATCTTCCGAGCCAACATCTGTAAAGGTGTAAATATTTCTTTTCAGTGCATCGCATGCATAAGTAGAGCTCAGTCCGAACTTCAATGCGCATGGAATGGGCAAAATGGAATGAATTCTCAAGCGGCGATGGTGGCGGCAGTGGCATGTACGACAGGCAGAACGAATGTGAACATTTTTTTATGTGCGCGGGTGCGGTTTTCAGGCCACTCTGTTTTTTTTTTTTCGCTTGAATTCTCCAGGACTATTTTTTTTCTTCTTTTTTGCCTGGGTCGACTTTGCGATGCAGTTTTCCGGCTGCTTTTGCTCCCTTGGATGCCCAGTGCGGATGCACATAATAGCGCCAGCAGGATGAGTAAGGAAACCGTGGCACTTTATTGAAAAACTGAAGAAAGCAGAGTTCAAAAGAACATTATGCACATTTTTCATTAAGTAGTTGCCAATAAAGTCCTTGTTCATCATCAATATCAGCTTTAACTTGTTTTGGTTCATACGAATTCGTGATGACACTGAACATTTTGCGTGTTCCCTTCAAATTTATATCACTGAGATTTATAGTATTTACTATGCCACAAGCTTACTAAAAAAATTTGTTATTTTTCTCCCCACTAATGTTTAGCCCCATTTATTCAAGTTCTGTTTTCGATTCACAGGTTTGCTTTGAAGAAAGAGCCAAACTCTTCCGTTACGACGAGAAAGAGTGGAAGGAGCGTGGCATTGGAGTCGTCAAATTGCTTGAAAATAAAGAGGGCAAAGTACGCCTGCTGATGCGGCGAGAACAGGTAAGTGTTGTAGATTATTACATCTCATAGGCATGCTGCTAATGCACCTAAAATTCAACAGCAATACAAAAAAAAAAGGAAAGTTGGTATCGCCGCAAAGAAGAAGCAATTAATGTTATGCAACAAATTGGAATATCACGCGAAGAACGGCAACTAGATCAGAATGTGTAGTGCACTGTTCACGCACAAATGAGTACGAGAGAATACACACAGGATGAGCGTGAGCTAACTGCGTTCACAGCTCAACACTCAAATCTGCTGCTCAAACTCAAAGGATGCACAAAACGTACACGCGCAGGTATACACAGGATGAGCGCATTCTAACTAGTGTCACAGTTGTTACTTCGCTCTGTGTGAAAAGCGCGCTCTTTTCTCAAACAGAAAGACTGCAGCGAGCGAAGTGACCTTTGCGCACCTGCAGGTACAATGCCATCGTTCCAGCGAAAGCCCAAGACGTACAATTCTCTCTCACCAAGAGATAAGCACGCACGTGCATGAGCGACCACATATCATAGGGCTAAGTATGCAAGCAGGCCCTCTGTGTCATCTCGCTGGAAAAGCTGAGAACGCTCTGATATTCCCCCCAAGATTGGGACACCGCCAGCGATAAATGGCTTATATAAATAGCTCGCCGTTACTACGACGGAGGATGTGCGCTTTTGTGACTCGGGGGTGGGAGGTGGGGGGCTAATGTCATGTGCTGCGAACCGAAAAGTCACCCATTCGATTCCGTGTGCGGGAAAATATTTTTCAGAATTTTCTTCGAGGCTTTATATAAATGCATATACCGCATTTACTCGCGTAATCCTCGCACTCGCATAATTCTCGCACCCCCCCACATCGCCCAACAAAAATACTTTTTTTTTTTTTCCCTCGAGTAATTATCGCACCCCCGAAAATTGCCGCAATAATGTCGTCTGCTTGTTCCAGCCGTTGATGATGATAGCGTGCGCAATCTCTTAAGCATCAAGCATACCATTATTGCACAGAGCTATAATCCAATCCAAGCCAAAGCGGCAAGTGGACATTGAGGCGTGTTTTGTATGTTGTGTCGGTAATCTTGTGACGTTATTAGGTGATACTGAAGCTACACGGCTGCTTTCAAGTTGACAGTGATTGATCATGTACCAAAAAACGGCAACAGGGCCGCCGGTAGGCTCTTCAAAGTCGATGAGTTTTGTGTTCGCTATTGGTGATGGCAGCTGAAAGCCACCAAGACGCGTTGGGCCTGCCGTGTGCCTAAGACTGAAATCAATGGTAAACTTTATTTCTTCAGAAGGAAACTGCGAACGATTCTGTTTAATAGCCATCAGCCCAATACTGACATCCTACGCTTACCTTTTGCGGGCTCCTGTCTTGTTTAGCTTCTACATTACCTTCTTATTACCTGGAAAAGTCAGTTCTGTACTCTTGCACGCAAGAGAATGCTGAGAAGTGGGCACTTTAATGGAATAAGACACAGTGAAGGAAGACAAAACCTGTCCAGCAGTGTTTTATTTGTCCTAAAAGCTTATTCATCAATGAAACAGCATGTGAAATCTTCCTGTTATTCTTCCCTTTACAATTTTTGTTGCAGTGTTTGAAGAGGTTTTTATACAATGAGAACATGTATTGAGTTTGGCTGCCTAAGTTGAAAGATAAATGACAATGTTTTTGTCAGTGTGTGCCTGCAGTTCAACTTGTTTCTGTTTATTGCATTTACTTTTTGTATTCAGTCTATGTAAATGTTAAAGAAAGGTGGTTCATATACCCGCATCACAGCAGTGTTGTTGGGGCAAGGTGGCCATTGAAAAAAAAAAAAAAAAGGTAGAGAGACATTTTTTTCACAGTGGCACCAGATTTTCTTGTAGGTAATGTACTACGAGGAACTGACCAATTGCAGTAGACTTGTCAGTAAACGGGAGTTGCTTAAATGGAACTGCTGTTGAAATGGAACTAGTACTTCTGGCGAGATTGGTTTTGTACTTGTATTCTGTACATTTCTGGATTAAATAGTCAACTTCGCACCAAAACCACAACCACACAGAAAAAGCAAACACAGACAGCATGGGCGCTCGTCCTGTCTCTGTGTTTTCTTCTGCCTGGTTGCGATTTTGGCGCGAAGTTGACTATCGTATTTACTTGCATAATCCTCGCACCTTTTTTTTTTTTTTTTTGACGGAAAACCATTGCAAAGTTGGGGGGGTGCGAAAAATTACGCGGGAAAAAATTCTATGAAAACATACAGAGTGAAAAAGAAAACGAAGTGGCCGCAAATAGGTGTTCTCACACCAGCAACTAACAGCTTTGAGAAGCACTAATTAAAACTTACCTCAACAATAAAAGCACCTGTTCAACACAAGGCATGATTTATTTGAGACACAAAAAGTGCAAGCAAATAGTCGAGAATCAGAATACCATACGCAAAGATTGTGGGCATTGCGGGCGTACTGGTAGCGTTCGTCGCTCAACAGGAGCCCTCAAAAGGTAAGTGTAGGACGTCAGTATTGCGCTGATGGCTATTTAACAAAATTGTCCCCAGTTTCCTTCTGAAGAAATAAAGTTTACCATAAATCACTGTTCAGGCTCTCGGCAGGCCCAACGCGTCTTGGTGGCTTTCAGATGCCGTAACCAGTAGCGACCACAAAACTCGTAGACTCCGAAGCTCTGTTGCCGTTGTTTAGTGCATGGTCTATCACTTCAACTTGAAAGTAGCTGTGTAGCTTCAGTATCGCCCCATAACGTGACAAGAATACCGACTCAACATATGAAACGCGCCGTAACGTGCACTTGCCATTATTGCAGGCAGTTTTCGGGGCTGCGATGATTACTCGAGGAAATAAAGAAATCGTATTTTTGTTGGGCAATGGGAGGGGGTGCGATAATTATGCGAGTGCGAGATTACGCGAGTAAATACGGTATTTAATTCAGACATGTACCAACTAGCGCAACAGCGAGTTCTGCTGGAGTATAATTCTGAATCTTTGTTAATCTCTCAGTAAATGCAACTCCTGTTAAAGAGAACATATTTTCCTGTTCTTTTTTTTTTCCCGGGTTCTGTTTTTAACAGTAGTCTACTGTATATGCTATGCACTAGTTAATTTCCTTCAATTCAATTTTCTTTCTTTCTTTTTTTTTTTTTTCAGGTGTTAAAGGTCTGTGCGAACCATTACATTCACTCGGGAATGACATTAACACCAATGCCAAAGAAGGACACTGCTTGGATATGGGATGCCCAAGATTTTGCAGATGGCGAGGCACGCCCCCAAAAGTTTTGCATCCGTTTCAAAACACCAGAAATAGCAGCACAATTCAAGGAAGCCTTTGACCAAGCAGTGAACAAGTCCAAACAGGCTGTGGCATCATGTTCCCCAGCTGCCTCCACTGCAGCAAGTGCAGCAGCCACTTTGTCTATGTCTCCATCACCCCTTAGAGTCTCTACGATCACGGCACCTTCCAAGTTTGAATCGTCATCAGCCACCACGCATCCAACATTTGTGATATCAACACCAGGCTTTGGCACTTCCAAATCGGTAGTGATGCCTCCGGTGTTTGGATCTGGAACAGCCACAACAGGGGCAGCCTACAGTGTCAATCAGTTCGGCATTTGCCGCTTCCGCTCCTAGCGGCTACGACTACAACAACTTTTTCCTCGTCTCCATCGAGCCTTGGTGGCCTCCAAGCAATGGGGGCACCGCATGCGTTTGGATCAGGTGTAGGTGGCGCAGTGACGTCTACCTTGTCACTTCGGCAGTCCTGTAACTTCGATTGTGGCATCAGGCTCTCCGCCAACAAGCCTACCTCACTTGCCAGCGACAGGTTTTGGCAAGATGTTTCATCCAAAACCAGGGGCCTGGGCGTGTCACACATGCTATGTGAGCAATGATGCCAACAAACTCACATGTGCAGCGTGCGACTCGCCAAAGCCAGGTAGTGAGAAATCAAAGACTGCAGACTTGCCTGTGGCAGCACAACAGCAAACAGCAAGACCCGATGTGGCTGCTTTTAGCTCCTTTGGCAATTCTTCGGTGCAAACTTTTGGCTCACAGGCAGTGCAGCAAGCACAGCCAACCTCTGTATTCAAGTTCGGTGTCCCTGTGCCTGAGCAGAAGCCAAGCACTCCTGTCACTTCAGCTGCTGATGGAACAGCTCCTTCAGCAAAGAATGTCTTTGGCGGATTTACATTTTCTGGCCCACCAAAAGTGAAAGAGCTTCCAAAGGAAGAAGCGAAACCCGCGGCCTCAGCAGCAGCAGCATTAAAGGAGTCTCCAAAGCCAAGCCCTTTTGCTGGCTTTTCGTTCAAGAGCCCACCAGCTGCAGCAAAAAAAGATGAACAAGGGACTGCTAGCGCTACACAGTCATTTTTAGCTGGTGCCCGTTCAGAAATTAGTAAGCTGAGCACAACACCAGCCAAGCAAGCTCAGGTGACGCCTTCTCTACCTCAACCGCAGGTCACATCTCCCCTGGCAAAGCCATCACCTCCAACTTCAAGTGGGACTAGGCATCGAGCAGATTCTCTTCGAAGCCCTGGCGAAGTACCAGAGGACTTTGTCCCCAGTGCCGAGTTTGAGCCAGTGGTCTCTTTACCGGAGCTTGTGGAGGTCAAAACGGGTGAAGAGGATGAAGAGGTTCTGTTTTGTGAACGAGCCAAGCTGTTCCGATTTGATGCAGAAACCAAGCAGTGGAAGGAGCGTGGTATTGGCGAGCTGAAGATCCTTTGCCACCCTGAGACACAGGTGTGCCGTGTGCTAATGCGCAGAGACCAGGTGCTCAAGCTTTGTGCCAATCACAGGATTCTGCCAGAGATGAAATTGGGCCCACTGTCAACTAATGATCGTGCATGGTCTTGGTTTGCCAACGATTACAGCGAGGGGCAACTCTGCAAGGAAAATCTTGCAGCACGCTTCAAGACGAAAGAACAAGCCGATTTCTTCAAGCAGGTATTTGAGAGCTGTAGAGACAATGCCCACACTACAACACCCCTCAAAGAAAGCAAAAGGGAAGAAGAGGGGGATAAAATCGAAGAGCAGTCGGCTGACAGTAAGCAGTCGAAGCCAGCAGCTGATGTGCCTCTCTCTATGTTGAATCAGTTCAAGCCAAAGCCAGGCGCTTGGAACTGCAATGTTTGCTATGTATCAAATCCAGCTGACAAAACATTGTGTCTGGCCTGTGAGACCCGGAGGCCTGGATCAGAGAACGTAGAGGTAGGTGAATGTTCCTAAACTTGCTCCCTCAAACTTAAATTTTTTTGCTGTGCTTAAAATACTGGCATAGTAGTTCTCATGAATATGCACATTTGATATAAGAAAAGTGCTTGGTTACGAAGTCAAGAAAGCGCTGCAGGGCAGCATGAGAAGAGGCAAAAGAGCAACGTTCCTGAACAAATAAGTCAACACTATATGTGTTAATGTAATGTTCATCTTTGCCTGAATGTACGAAACAAATTGAGGGTATTATTTCACAGATCATGCTAAAAAGACCACAATAATAGTGAGGTTAAAAAACCTTGGCAGCAAGATTGCTTTCTCATATTTATGATTTGCCAAATTTAGCATAGATGTGTATTTTCATATAGTGAATTTGGAAATTTTGCTCAAGTTTTTGTTCATCTATTTTACATTAAAGGTTGAAAAAATAATTTTTTAAAATGTTAGATCTTTCAACGTTGGTAGATGTCAAATTCAAGCAGTAGAAAGTTAATGCAGTGCCATTAGGCCTATGCTAAGTATGTGCCGAATGGGGCCTCTACTGTAATATGCAGTTCTTCCATTTGCAAACGCAAGTACAGTCGATCCTGCGTATATATCGAATTCGTAGCGTATCGCAAAATAGTTCAGTATATCGATAACTCGAAATACAAAATATGCACATTTAAGGCCTAAATTAAAGCATTTTGGGCCTCCAAAATTGTTACGAGCACTAACATAACGGTTTGCTCACGGAATACTAAACGGCAAGGTGTGAACTGCAAATTACCTTACTTTATTTCGCATGAAAATAGTCGTTAAGCGTGTCTTGCTTTGTGCACGTCGTCAAATTCCAGTCATCCTCAAAATAATTTAAGTTTGTCAAATAGGCGAACTTAGTTCTTTCGGCCACAGCAGCGTTAATTGACACAGAACACCGATGCAAGCTGTGAAGCTTGACAAAATGTTGGTTAGCAGCGGCAGCGAAGGCGTTGGCATATTCATAACTGCATGGGTACACTTCTACAGCAAGGGCAGGCATGATCTCGGCATCCATGCAGTCAGAAACAGCTACGTCATCTGCAACGATGATGTCACTCACTGTCCGAGATGGTGCCCGAAAATGCTAAGTCGCAGAATTCACTCAGGCACTGTACACCATTTTCAGTGGTCATGCTGCACTCGAAGTCGTCACCTGGCCCGCAAGGAAAGCTTGTGACAGCACTTTACTTGATGTCGGTCTAACCACCAGTCGTAAATTTTTATTGCTACGTGCGGGTCAACATTCTATTCAACTCCCGTATGGGGATTTATCAGGAACGAGGCGAGAAGTGCACAAGTCCACCAGGCGCAAAAGACCATGCCGAGTTCTCCCTGTCAACATGTTGACGATATTGATGTCACTTGTGGCTTTGTAGTTCGCAGCCGCTGCTTTCAACTGTTTTGATGCGAAAAGCTAGCAAAAGCGTAGCCTCCGAAACGTGTTTAAATACTGAGAACACTAAAAATACATCACGAGGCTGCACATCTCGGAGGCCATGCTTTTCAGGTTCGCATGCTATTGTGTGCTAATAAACAAGGAAGAAATTGTGAAGATAGCACCGAGATCACCGAGTCACTTGCATTCTCAGTTCGGTGTCCTCGGCAATCGGTATTTTCGAAAAACACTATGCCTCCATGTTAAGACGTGCAAAATGCGCGCCAAGCACTCCAGTGCTCTCGCAAGCGCCGTGCAACAGTCCAGGTCAGCGCAATGGAATAACACAGCCTTTTTTGTCACCTGCACCTGAAAAGAGGTCGGAACTTGTGAGAACACGACTGAAAATTCATACATATCTGCTAGGAAAACTGCACTTTTTGAGCTTCGGTGAGGTGTAGTGTTCGATATAGTGGAATTCCAGCTGTGTGGGAGTTCGATATACGGGTGCACTAGTCCCATACTTCTGCATGGGAAATGCAAGGGGATTTCGCAACTGTTCAATATAGCCAATAAATCGATATATCTCAGTTTGATATATTCAGGATCGCACGTACAATATCTAATGCATTAGTGTTGATGCACTGAACATTGTGGTTTGCGCTGCAGCCCACACCGTCACCTTTAAAAGCATTGGAGAAGTTGGCTGCCCCAGTCTCTGGAGGTGGAGGGTTCCCTATTGGCACTTCACCTGTGGGAGTTGCTCCAGCCAAGTTCACCTTTGGGTTTCCTGTAGCCGGCACAATTTCGCAGCCGTCAGCTACTAACTTCTCGTCGGCCCAATCCACTTCTCTAGTGACATCAACGACACCTAAACCTTCGGGGTTTGTCTTTGGCTCGTCACGCCCAGGCTCTGCAGCTCCGCCATCTACTTTCACGTTTGGGATGGCAACTTTCAAGCCGGATACTTCTTCTGCCAATACACCAGTTGCTACGTCTACACCAACAACAGTAAGTTCATGTTATAAAGGTGTATCATGATTGGCGAGTCATATTAGTGTGTTGCATGTCTGTCTGAAAAGTGCCATCGAATCGGGACCTGGCAGTTCTGTACAATGTTTAAGCATCATCAAAGGTGTATTTCAGAGACATGTTCTAAACATTGATGGAGTTCACTGATGCCAGCTCAGTGACCATTTCGCGTTGCACAGAAATTCAAAATGCAAGGGACTGCAGTGATCTTACCTATTTGTTGGTCTTGATCTTGTGCTTGCAGTTTAAGTTTGGAAGCCCGCAAAAGTACGAGTTCAGCTTCAGTGGCGTTCGACCACGTAGTCCGAGCAAAACGCCAAAGTCGCCTGGAACGCCAGCAGATGCGGAAGAAGACGAATCGGGCACCATTGAATCTCCAGAGGCCGAGATCTTTTTCCAGCCTTTGGTGCCCTTGCCTCCGAAGGTAACATCTTCCTTTCAGCTCGCTGTTTTCGTGAGCCAGTACATTTCAAATAGCACCTGCTGGCTCGTTTCTTGAAATTATTAAGCGACTCTTTATAGTCTGCAGCCCCGCCGTGGTGGTCTAGTGGCTAAGGTACTCGGCTGCCGACCCGCAGGGCGCGGGTTCGAATCCCGGCTGCGGCGGCTGCATTTCCGATGGAGGCGGAAATGTTGTAGGCCCGTGTGCTCAGATTTGGGTGCACGTTAAAGAACCCCGGGTGGTCTAAATTTCCGGAGCCCTCCACTACGGCGTCTCTCATAATCATATAGTGGTTTTGGGACGTTAAACCCCATATATCAATCAATCAATTTATAGTCTGCAGCTCTAGTTCAGAGCTCTTACTGTGATATACAGTCAACTTCTGTTAATTTGACCCCAAAAGGAGCAATGATATTGGCCTAATTATCCGATGGGTCAAAGTGAGCAAGAGCCAAAACAAGAGATACAATGCTTGCTTGTTTGGCAGTATTTGGCCGATCATAACTTATCCCCAGATTGAACTCTCACTCAAGCGATATTTTATTAGTCAAAAGTAGAAAATTAAGATCAAGATTATACTATAGCACCTAAGCTACCTATGTAGAAATTAAATGTCACATCTCCTATTCAGGTAAGAAAAAAGACGAAAGCGCAAACTCTTGTCTTCATGGATTGAAACTCTAATAACTTTATGTTCATCAGCACAGATTTATAATTTAAGCAACTAAAACAGGTTGCTTAAACTAATTGTGGGTGAAAAATGGCATAATATGTTACTCTGACTTTTAATTGAAAAATGTTTGATGTACTGTGCATTTCGTCAAATTTTATGTGGTATTGATAATCAACTGTGTAAAAGTGGTTGCTTGAAGTAATTGTATTTACTTGTGTAATCCTCGCACTTGCATAATTATTGCAGCCCCTTGAATAGCCCAACAAAAACACATTTTTTTTTCTTCTCAGGAGTTGCACCCCCCTAAAATTGCAGCAATCATGTCATCTGCTTCTTCCTACCGCTGATGCATATAACGCACGACAGCCTAGTGCCATCTCTTAAAGGAGCACTGACACCAAATTATGAAGGCAAGATAATGAGTGAGATAGATTTATTTAGAGACATACACAACGTCTATGAAATATCAAGGCCAAATATAGCTTAGAATGTATTTAAAATCAATTTTAAAGTGCATGCCGCGCGACTGAGCAAGATGTGGAGCTGCTTGCGGCGCCAACATCAAGGCAACTCAATTATAAACAAGCCTATTCAGTCAATGTTGGCTGTTTGCTTGCACGCACCTTTCGCTTGCGTGCGCTGGCTGTGTTAGCTGTTGGAGCTGCACCCGCTCGCGCATACTCTCGCGCGTGCCTCCTCGTCAGTTTTGCGTGGTCACGTGGTCAGCTATTGTCTTGCTATTGAAACCAAAAGAGGGAATGCGCTCTAAATAAGTGTCTAAATAGATAACCGTCGCATAGGCAGGTGCCATTATCATCTGACTCTAAGGGTGTCCTCACTCAATTCAGGTGCATTTGCAAGACATATTCGAGCGGTGCTTGTTTTTTGCAGCACAGATGCACGTCCATTCGTGCTGACACAGCTGCCATAGGAGCGACTAGTGACACTAGATGCGGCATTGTGTCTGATATAATGGCACAAGAGAAATTAAAGCTGCTGGAAAGTGGTTGAGAAGGCCACCTTCACACTTTATATGTGCGGTGGACCTTTGCAAATATTTTTGTTTTTTTGTAGAATAAATATTCTGACTGCTAGCAACAGCTATCTATTGAATAGCTGGCATAAATTTCTGGCAATTATTACTGCTCAACACTCTCAGATTGCAAAGCTGACATCTTCATTTGATATTTGATTTGCAAAAATTTTATATATTACAGAACATTGATGTTACTATAGCATAACAACGATGGGCGTGTGCTTCTGTCAAGTTCGCCAGCCAAGTGCATTTTTCCAACAATGCACGTACATTGGTTCGCGCAAAGGTCTGTCAAAAAATTACTATGTCGCCGTAACGGGCAAATTCAAATTGATTCTGAAAGTTGAGTGGCTGGACTAACGACTCGAAAGTTCTGGGTGCTAGAGAAATAAATTCAGCTTGCCAAAATCAACAATCCATGGCGTCAATCACTGGTGATCGATTTGAATAGGCGTGGTAACAAATGGGTTAACAAAAAAAGGATGAAAATCCTCTCATACATATGTTGTACTATTTCAGCCATGCTTAGTGTAAAAACAGAGCCGTGGCTTTTTTGTTGGAATGAACGTATGCTTGCATTTCATGGCTTTTGTCTAGGTGGAGGTGCGCACTGGTGAGGAGGAGGAAGAAGTTTTGTACAGCCACCGGGCCAAGTTGTACCGTTGGATGGACGGGGAATGGAAGGAACGTGGTCTTGGTGACATCAAGCTGCTCCGTCATCCAACCACTCAACGGACAAGGCTGCTGATGCGCCGTGAGCCGGTCAGTTACCTTGTAGTGCTTCTCTCCTTAGCAAAAAAGAATACTGGGGGTACCGGAGAAAAACGCTACGGTTTCCCTACACTCCCTCTGATGTTTTTTTTTTTTTTTTTACATTTCAAGTTAACGTGCACATCAAGTTCAGAATGATGTCACAATCAACAATGCCAAATGCGGCAATACAACAAGTTGCAAGCACCCCACGAATTCCAAGAAACAATCCCTTTTCCTCGCTATGCCTTTTGGCAATCATACCGTCAGTGTTCGTTGTGATGTCAACATGCCATCTACTCAACATCTGTTAAGCTGCTCACCGGTCTGCCTTTTCTCACAGTGAGGAGGAGCGCTTGGCCAGGAAGAGAGATGAGCTGACTAACAGAGCATAGTAAAGGATGAAGCGAAACGAGCAAAACTCTAGTGTCTCCCAATTAAAAGGGTCATCAATTCATAATCATGGTATGATTCTTGGCTTATAAGACTCTGTTTAACCCTTTCCCCAACATGTCAAAAAAATTTGTACCGAATTTGCTGGAAATTTTTTTTTGGTCTATTGGTCTATTCATGGATTACCCCTCTTTCTCGAATAAAATGGCACCATTATTTCAATACAAAGGGTTCCTTTATTCATTGTTCATTGGTGTTCTTTCAGTAAAGTTCTGCAAAGCCACATTTTTTTGCAAAAATGCGTTAAGATTGATAAACTATAAAAGAAGGCAATACAAAAAAAAAGTTATAGTAATCTACAGTGTGTAAAAACACCTACATGAATAGGGGTAACATTTCTGCAACACCTAACACAGTTACTAGGCTGTCTTGATATGGTAGACTTCAAAGCAAGTTGAGGGTGACCACTAGGTTCTTCGGTTTATCCACAGAATCCTCATCGGAATCCTCAAACGAGAGCACATCACTTTCTGTGTCCCTACAAAACTCCAGAGTTGTCCGACTAGCAGTCGGAGAACTTCATTTTAAGTGCGTTTTCATTGTCTCGTCCCTAGGTGGCAGCCGTGTTTCCAGTAGTACTATAAAAAGCGGCTATAGAACGAAATCAAAGACACTAATGGCACATTATGGGCAACAGTAGCTGTCTTACGTCAAGAAACACAACTGTGTAGAGTGTAGCCGTCATCAATAATTTTGGTGCAAAATATGATCCCTAAAACAAGAGGGAAAAGGTTAACTTTCGTCTTGGATTTATTGAAACGCTGGGATTTATTGAAACACTGGTGTCAAAGCACCACTTGCAGTCACAAGCTGCCTCGAAGTTTTTAGTCGCTGTTTTCTGTGAGCTTACCTCAGTTTACATAGTTATGGTGTTTTTTGTCAGTGAAAAGTAGTCTTAATGTTCCTTTGATAAAGTTTGTGAATGTTCGTTTCAAAGAATACAGGCACTCTTTTGAAAGTGGTTGCTTCACTTCTGAATTAAATAGTCATCACTCGGACATGCCAATGCATCCAGCAATAATCTTGCGGAGGTCTGCTGTGTGGGCGCTAGATTTATTGAAAGCCTTTGACATTGCAGTTACTTGAAAAACTTCTTTTGTTTTTTGGGCTAAAGTACAGCATTGTCTTCTTTTATGTTTGTTTGTTTAAGCGTAAGCATCAAAATAAAGTTCTGTAGAGTTTACCACCAGTCTCTTTCTTTCTCAGTTTTTCTGCGTCTCAGCCATTGTTTTTTGGCTTTTATATTTGCAACAAGTTATCTTTTCATCCACTTTTCTTTCTTCACATTCACATTACAATTTGGTCTCATAAATTCCCCTATACTTTTTTTGCATTATTGTCTATTTGTTAGATCTCATTATTAATATTGTGTTAAACAAGAAAAAATGGGCCCTTAAGTACACACTTACTTCATTATATATATATATATATATATATATATATATATATATTAGTGGGCCTGGTACGTATAAGAAAAGAAGCTGGTACACCTAAGAGAAAGCAAGCAATTCCTTTATCGATTTCCGTTTCGGCCGTGGCACTGCCTTCGTCGGAGAACGCGCAAGAATTGTGTGTGAAGCAGCCTGCGTTGCCCCTCAATCTGTGGCGGAGGGCGTGCCACGGACGAAATCTACATCAATAAAGAAATTGATTTCTTTCTCGCACGTTTACGAGCTTCTTTTATATATATATATATATATGTGTGTGTGTGTGTGTGTGTGTGTGTGTGTGTGTGTACACACACACACACACACTGAAATCTCATTAAACGTAACAGGATATAATGAAATAATGGATATAGCAAAGTAAATGAAATTCCCCTTGAAAGCTCTGTTGAGACTCATGCATTTTAAACCTCATTGTAACAAGGTAAAATTGACTGGTAAATGGATATAATGAACTAAATTAGTCTATCAAATAGTGTGTAAAAAAAAAAACGACCATAGTGTATTGAGTGTATTGTTTTCTGCCGAGTTTGACGCCCGTACGGCGCGGCTCTTTCAGAACTCCCGCGCCGACCTTACAGCCACGCCACGTGCGGCCGAGAGATCCCTCTTTCTCACAAGCCAGGGGAGAGGATTGAGAAAGCGCTCAGCGGGTCACATGACCAAGAAGCGGCGCTGTGGTGCAAAGCGATTTCCCTCTCGCTTATTAGAACGCTCGATGGGAAAGCTCCTGAAGACTTACATTTATTCACAAATGAGAGGACATCCGTCATTAATTGAAGTAATCGGTGATGCACGTCTGCACACATTTGCCTTGCAGCGAATCAATCAATTTCGCACGTAGTTTGCAAAGCATAGTAGCGCGCGTCTAAGTCCAGTACCGACACTCTCTAGAGACGACAACAACAACTGCGTCTCCGCTGCTACCCTTTGCACCAAGAAAGGACTCTCCGCGACAGCTGTCTTTCCTTTTTAGGGGCAAAGCTTCTCAAAGTGGCACCCGCTCGTCCCTCGTAGTACGTAACATGTTTTACACTTTGACCTCCAAGGGGGTGCCGGTGGGAGATTTCTCCTGTGCGTTGTTGAACAATAAAAAAATCGCAGCGTTCGCGTTAACTAAAAGCCAAATTCTTCTGTCTCGCATTCCCTATTAGCAGCCATTGGCATGTACATTGAGCACTATCGGACAAGAAAGGGTTGCTACGTTATACTCGCTGGGTGTAACCTCCTTAGTTTTAGAAAGGTTTAGTGAGCGTTGAGCCGCAGTGCCATGAATACAATGAACTAGTATATACCATGAATGAATTTGAGGTGGTTAAAGGGGGGAAGCAGATACGAAGCGCAAGCCGTAAGAAATTGAAAGCTGAATCCTCCTGTCTCTCGTTTCACATTAGCAGCCACTGGCATGTACATTGAGCACTATCTGACAGGGAAAGGTTGCTACGTTATACTTGCTGGGCATAACCTCCTTAGTTTTAGAAAGGTTTAGCAAGCACTGGGCTGCAGTGCCATGAGTACAGTGAACTAGTATATACCATGAACTCAAGGTGGTTGAAGGTGGGAACTAGACCCGAAGCGCCAGCCGTAAGAAAGTGTGCGTGTGCCACCCCTCGTTTAGTCCTTGGAATGTCTGCTGGATGGCGGTGCTTCTATATGGGGAATATATAATGAAAAGATGCGAGATTGTTGTACTTGGAGTGTTGACTAGATGGACGAATAGACACACAGACAGATGCATGGACGGACGCACGGATGGCTGCACGAACGGATGGACGCATGGGCGGATGCAGGGTGGATGCATGGACGAGCGCATGGACGGACGCATGGATGGACGTGCGGACGCACGTAGAGACGCAGGCACAGACGGGCGGATGGACGCATGGGTAAACGCATGGATGGACTGCACGGACTGATGGAATCAACAACGAATACACGGACGGATGCTTCGTCCCACTCTCCATCATCCACCCTGTGGATATGCTGCCATTTTTTTCTTTTCTTTTTTTCCTGTCTCCGCACGTGACCTTGAAAGGAGAAGGGTCTCTACGGGCAGAGAGGGAAAAGGGAGAAGCGTGGCACAGGCGCGTCGCAGATTGGCATTAGAGAAAGAGCAAACAATCCGCCACAATTTTTTTTTTTTTTTTTCGCGCCCATCATTGAGAAGTGCCGCCGTGGGATTGGGCACGATGCTGAGAGCATTTTAGGAGCACGGTATGCTCGAGTTAACCGTCGCAAGTGCTTGCGAATTCGAATTGCAGGGCGTTTTCCCCCATTGGAATACACATAGCTTTGATGGGACCACAGCGTGAGTTCGAATCAAGCGTGTTAGAATTAATGAGATTCGACTGTGTTTATTTTTCGTCGTGGTCGCGTAGTGGTACATCGGGCTGTGAGGCGGTTTCCTTCCTTGCATGCTTATAGGTGTGCGACCATCTGAGCGTACATTGCCACAAACTGTTATAATCTATATAACGAAATAATGGATATAACAGAATAATTGTGGCTCCCCTTCAACTTCGTTATAACGAGGTTTGTGTGTGTGTGTGTGTGTGTGTGTGTGTGTGTGTGTGTGTGTGTGTGTGTGTGTGTGTGTGTGTGTGTTTGTGTTTCCAAAATAAGATTGTTTGCATATGTTGCCATGCACAGGTGCTGAAGGTCTGTCTGAACCACCTGCTAACACCAGAGCATCAGTTCAGCAAGAAAGACGATCGCACTGTCACATGGTCCGCAACAGACTTCTCGGATGATGTGGCGTGTCCATACCAATTTGCATTGCGCCTCAAGAGCTCCCAAGTTGCCGAAGAGTTCTTGGCTGCTGTGGAGAAAGCAAAGAGCAAGCCCAGTGGCTCTCCCCTGCCCTCCGTAAGCACCTGTACCTGCCCATTTGTTTATCCATTTCTGTGGTTACTCTTTTCCAGCTGATATGATGATGCAACGTATCGATTCTGTGTGGTCAAAAACAGGCAAGAACTCTGTATGGAGCAGCCTGCATTGCTCCTCATTTGTTCTAAATATCGAAAAAATTGCTTGGTATCACCACTTTACAGAAAACAAAACCTTTCTTTACATAAAACATAAAGGAAGCAAATAGTGCGGGCATTTCTTACAGATAGTTGAATCGTAGTTCTAATAAAACAAGGAACGTTATGTAACAGAACCAGTGGTGAGGGTAGTATTCAATAAGCCTTCAAGGTATCTGAAGGATGATAGGTCCTTTAAAGGTTGTATTACATGTTTCCTGTTTTTCTAACAAGTGAGAGAAACAACATGCAGGATAGTGTAATGAGAGATGCTGTCACGAATTTCGGAGGTGATGTAATCGGGGGTCTACCCAGAGGACCGGAGCCAGCCAGAGCATCGGGGAGATGTCGAGGAGAGCAGCCCAGAGCTGTTAACAGTAACTTTTAATTACAATATTTACAGATAGCGTGTTACATGATGGTTGTAGCATCATAGAAGCTCTCGACGGAAGCATGAGGGGAGCTTCTACGAGCTTGTGAGAGCCTGTCGGGTCGGGAGCGCCTCGGCGCTCGCGTTTTATGTCCTGCCCTTCCCAGGATTCCCTGCATGAAAAACAATGGAGGCCAGGACAGTCCAATGAAAATTGCCATATTCACCTCTGCCATCGAAAGGGGAAGGTGAAATGCCGCCCTCTTTCCGACCAAGGAAAGAGGGAAGAAGTATGCCCAGTTCAGCCCATGGTGAGGGAGAAAACGCGCACGGCACAGCACAGCATGAAGATGTTGAGTCTTACGTGGAAGTCAATTTCGTAGTCTGTTGCAGTGATGGGTATGTGGCGCCAGGCAGACCACAAATTTTAGAAACAGCGGCATCAAGGCGCCAGAGAACGTGGGAAAGGCATCCGCAGACGGTATTGAGACACTGGGCCCTTCGCCCAGAGCACCTAGACGACAAAGCAAGCCGCCTCGTCGGCCAACAACCCTTCCTAATCCGTCAGCCGGTCAAGCGTGTCCAAAGGGTTTACGAGGGGCGCCGACGACCTGGGATAACTAGAAAAATGATTTCTCTGTTGTCGCTGCTCTTGGTGCATCTCTGGGAGCGCTGACTCAGAAGAAATCAGGGTAGACCCAGCCGCATGTCTCATGCGACAAAGTGGCATCAAGCCAGGCGGCCGATCATAACACAGGCAAGTGTTAGTGGAGATAGATCGTGGGGACGTTGGTCGGCTCAGCCAGCATGGCTTATTAACAAACAAGGAGAAACACTAGAAGAGAAACTTCAAACTGAATAAAAAAACAATAAACAGCCAAAAGCTAGAACGCTACTGACAAAATCTCTAAAAATAAACTCTTCAATTTCAGCTGCACCTAACTACAGTCTGAATGCCCCCCCATAACTTCAGTCTGGCCACCTAGGCCTCGTCATCTGCTCGTAGCTCTAATGAAAGCGTCATACTTGGCTCCATCGATCGTTAGGTCCAAACTGCTTCATCCGACACCTGTTGTTGCCAACGATCCTGCTGAAATCGTCGCTTCGTTGCATCATGGTCACGCTGTGCTGTCATAAGCCTGTCCCAGGTCGCAGATGGTGACGTGGTACCTTGTCGTCCGAAGGGAAAATGGCAAAACAGGCGCTCTCGAATGGAAAACGTGGTGTCCTGGGGATTACTGCGAGCAGACGTTTGAAAGGGGACTGCTGCGGGTGGGTTCGGAATGGCCGAAAGACACTGCAGCACCTCCAAGAAACCTCACCCGAGTGTCGCCGAGGTCAACAACCACGCCACGGAGTGCCAGTGTTGCGGCCTCTGAAGTCAAGCGTCCATTGTACCCATCGGTAGAACATCGCTACCAATGCTACCATCTTCCTCCCTAGCCACGCAAGTAATACCAGATTATTGCACATTCCCTTGCATTACGGCTTTTGTTATGTACTTCGAGCCGTGTGCTATGCCATGCACATGCTCGTGCTTGTTCCGCGAGCTTCTCCACCCACTTTGTCATCTTCGTCTTCTCTTTACTCGTGATGATGACTGATTGTGAACACTTTCAGATGCACCCTTGTCAATAGGGGTGTTTACCAATCTGGAAAACATGGAAGTGTCAAGGAATTAGGGCATGTCTGGAAATGTCAGAGAGTCATCATGGAAATTCTGAAAGACCTGGCTGGGTCATGAAACTGACCAATGGCAGTCTGTGTGACCGTCACAAAAACAATCTTTACCTTTGATGAATGCTTATAATGTTGCTCTTTTTTCTGCATCTGCAGTAAACAGCTAAGCTGAGGTGTTAAAAAAAAGAAAAATCAAGAGAGAGAAAGGGATAGTGCATATTGTTGCTTATACAGATCACACAACATATCTTAGTTCTCAGGCATGGAATTACCCACACGGATGAATTTCTTCTTGCTTGTCTTAGTCATGATTTTGGCTCAACTTGAAGGCATCCTGGTTTGTCTAAAAGCACTACGAGTAGAGGTTTGCCGGGCCTGAACAAGGTCATTCAGTGGTGGCGCAATGGCAGACATCCTCAGTTCAGCACTAATTTTATGCAAGTGCCTTGTTTTTTTAAACCACTCGAGTCGAGAGCTCATTCACAGCAAACAGATAGTCAGTTGTTTAAGCAGGCTTATCAGTGAGGAATTACGCTCAAAAGCATAATGCGAAACATGGAAAAGTCAGTGAATTTGGGAAAATAAATCAGGAGGCACTCTGACAATATTTATTGAAGCGTTAGTCACTCTTACTGTTGCCTATTGTATTAAGCAGGTACATGGGTCCTAGAAGGCCAAAAATCGCAAAATGATCTTTTTGAAGGTGACAGTTTCTTAATCTGTGCCTAATTTTGCACTTATATGAGAACCTTTCAGCTTCTCGTATCATTATTTTTGCCGCAAAATCAATTCACAACACCCATATGAGCGGTATGTGAGGGCAAATAGATGCTAACATAGATGCACTGTGACCGTTACTCATGAGCTGTTGGGGCCGTCTTGGTCTCATTTGAAAGAGTCTTCTTCATCTTCAATATTGCGCCATCACTGGCTTGCCTTGCTCATTGGTTTTTCATCAAAAGCTCATCGTGAAGTACTAGCGCGTGATTCTATAGGCTGCTTCTGGCACGTGACAAAACCTAGGCATACGATTGGCCAAATGGTGTTTCCGCTGTTTGCTTCACCATTAAGATACGCACAGGCATGCACCATTTTGTTGTGGTGCTGTCAACTGCCTGCTGCAGTAAAGAAGTTCCGCGCCACACAAAATTGTGATGCGGGTGTGGCCATCGCTCGCCAGAAACTTCAGAAAGAGCCCCACTATGGGTCAGGACAACGAGGATAACGAGCTCGCAGCAGTCGACAGAGTGGTCGCCGAATCACAGGAATAGGCCTAACTGAGGCTGGACCTACGAGCCTGTCGATAGCTGAAAACGTCGCTTAAAGCGACCGTGTTTTACAGCCTCAACAAGTAGAGGATGGCAAGTAAAAAGCAGAAGTGAAGCTACGAGATATATCAACCTTTGCAGCGACGGAACGGAAGTGCAGTCTTATCAATAAATGTGCAGACGCTTGCCGCGGTTCACCCTGTTTGACGAAACGACCTCGTTTGTATGTGAACTGTGTGACGGGTCATCAGAGTGGAGTTCGCCACACAATGTGCTCGCTGCCCGCGCAATGAGGGCTACTGGCAACAGGCAGAGTGCTTTTAACGATGTGTTCGCCATGATGAACATATGGTGTTGCGGTCTCCACACGAATATCTGGCAGTTTTACATTGAAAGGAAACTAACTCCTTGCCACTCTTGGAGCCTCGAAATTGATGAGTGAGTGCGCAAGTTCGGTTCGAGACATCTACATGTAACTCAATCTGGACAAGCAGGAAAACATCGCTGTGTCACACGACAGATCGCAGATGACACACCCACATTTGTCACACATCGACATCAGTACCATCACAGAACTGATAAGCGGCCTTGTTGGCAAATGAGCACATGGTGACTATTTGTAGCAGAACTTAAAGAAACAAAGAAACAACACGCTCATGCAAACAGTCTTTCTGATTGCATGCCAGGTTCATATTAACTAACTAAAAGTATGTGTGCCATGATAGTTTTCACTCAGTAAGGCTAAATAAAGTTTTAACAATTCCTCCCCCTCCTTTTTTTTTTTTTTTTTCAGAAAACATTTTGATCACTTTGCTTTTCAGAAAACACATTTTGATCACTTTGCTTTTTTGGTTCTGTAGAAAGGGACCTAGGACAGCTAGAGCAATGATTTTTTTGCAAAATGTAGGTAAATGTGCACAGGAAGCGCTGAGAGCCTATTTTTAATGTGCTGCGTCAATTTTTCTATATTATTAATTAAAATTTTTTTGTTCTTGTTTACATGCAGACATTGAGCTTTATTGTGCTGTAATTTGAGGAGTACTTGTTCATTTTTTTCATCAGCTAGCAGCATTGCTCACCTGAGGCTTTCTAACCTAAGGTGTTAGTGTTAATTACATGTATGTGTTAATGACTATGTAATTTATGTACATGAATTTTTTTACGGTTTGAGTGAACAAAATAATGTAATTGCCAATCACCTCAGAAAATAATTGACCTGCATAAAGTATAGTTCAATAGTTAAAATAAGCTCGAAAAACTGAATAAAGCTGTGCTGTTTCACTTAATTGTTGTTACTAAGAAATAACCAACTTTATCTTTAAAAACTATGTGCCCCCCCCCAACCACCCCCCAACCAAGTCTTCAAACATCTTTTTCGCGTTTTCTCAAAAACAGTTTTCGCCTATGGTCTATACCGTTGACCCACAATATCTTTTGATCTAGTGATAAGATTTCAATGATTCTTGTTGCAATTGAAAGCTTATTAAATAAGTTCCTGTACACAATAACGCTACTAAAGTTATAAAATTAGGGTAAAAAATTGTTAATGTGCTGATAAAACTGATAAAATTTTGCACGTTCCCAACCATTACCATTACATTACAGATGGCAATAACTTTTATATAATAGGGCTAAAATTACAATGATTGTTTAGGTGTGATCCTTGATTGTTCTAGAGTGTGTCCATTATAAAGTGGATTAAGGCATACTTAACTAATCATAATCAGCGGGTAAGAATGGATGGTCATGTCACCGACTTACTGTCAGTGCTCTCGGGAATCCCGCAGAGATCTGTCCTGGAACCACTCTTATTTTTGGTGTATATCAATGACATTTCTGCTATCATAGAGTCAGGTGTGCAACTTAAACTGTTTGCAGATGACTATTTATTATATTCCTCTGTACGGAACAAAGAAGATCAAGTTAAAAATAGCAGATTTTTACAGGAGTTGAGCAAATAAATGGTGTGAACAATAGAATATGGAAATTAATTATTCTAAATCGACATACACACATATTACAACATAGAAGGACCGTCTTTTTTTTTTTTTCACATAACATTGGACACAAGTTTGAATAAATACTATGCAATTTAAATATCTAAGATTAACGATAGCGCAAAATCTGTCCTGGAACGTACACATCAACGTTTCTTGATATGGGAGGCTATGTTTCCTACGAAAAGATCTAGAAGGTAAACAGCCGATATGAAACTTGCTGTTTACAAGACCTTCGTAAGGCCTGTTCTTGAGTATGCGTCGGTGGTATCTAGCCCTCATAAATATTATTCAAAGAAACAAATTGAAAAAATTCAGAGGTACGCGGTGCGATTTATATGCTCCGGGTATCGACGGACAGAGTCGGTTACGGAAATGCTCCATTCTTCCGGCCTGCATTTGTTAGAAACGTGCAGGCACAAAAATCGTCTGAAGCTATTGTTTCAAATACTAAAGGGCCAAAAAAATATTAGAAAAGAAGTATATTTATGTCACGGGTCCGTTAATTCGGGAAGAGATCGCCGGGCTAATTCCAGGGGCCGGGGTATCGGCCCCCCGAACCGCACCACGAAAGCGTGGACAATTTAGAAGTGGTCCTATTTGGCGTGCCAGCGGACGCCGGCTGTGGCCCAAAGAACAAGTCAGAGCCAAGAGTTGTTAAACAAAACAAAAATATATTCTCAATTATGGCAGATCAAAGCGATACACAAGTATGCACACTCAACAATAGTTGAATACAATATGTCACCAATCAAACAACGTACTACACTGTACAATCAGCCACTCGCGAAACAACAGACACAAACAATATGCACTACAATGCAGTCGCATGCATCGAACAACCAAGACACTTAGAGACTAAAGAGTTAGAAAACCTATTCAGTCCAGAGTCCTTGGAACAAGAGTCTGAATGATACTCTTCCGAGAATCACTCACTCAAAGTCCAGCGTTGTTGTCGTTCCGCTGCCCCCGAAGTTTCTCTTCCAGGAAACCTCGCGTCTTCAATTGGCCGCTCTCCAAGCACCAAACTTCTTCGCCGGAAACACGTCGGCTTCACACACGCAGCTGTTGCCATGCGTCTTCGCTCGATAGCGGTAGACACACACTCTTGCCCTCTAGCTCGAGCCTTCACCCCTCAGGTGGAAATCCTCTTCTTCTCCTTTGTCACGGAAGACAAAAGGCTTCGCCCGCAAGGCGGAACACCCTACGCACTCTGGCGCATACTTTCTTCTTCTCCTGCTTTGTCGCTAAGGACAAAACCTTCACCGACAGACGCGGCGGGATACCCTACGCACTCTGGCGCTAACTTCCTTCTTCTCCTAATCTCCCATCTCTGCTGCTCGATTAAATACCTTCCGCGCGAGATTCCAGAAAGTTCTCATCATTTCGTCGGCGCGATACGCAGCGAAGGCTGGGGAAAGGGTGAGACAGTACGAGGGCCGTCCGCGAAAGATGACGCAACCCTGCATCACCACGCCCCTTTCCATCGAGAACTCTCTAGGGCTTGCTTGGCCGCCGATGCGAGGAGGTTCGTTGGTGAACCTACGCTTTCGAGGGGAGAGGGACGCGCGCCCGGGAAGTCTTTGGATGCTTGTTTTCTTTTTTTTTTATCGTTGACCTCTCGGTGCTTCGTCGCGAGAATTTGGCGGAGCGCTCGTTTTGTGACAACTTACTGCCGCCAGGTAAACAGAGCTCAACAAGGAACCACAACAGGGCCATTCAAGTGTACAGGACTCAAACCGTTAGAATCAAATATTCCTTTTTTCCTAACGCACTTGAAATGGGGATTGATTTGCCGGTGTGTGTTGTTGAACAGAACGATTTGTCAAAATATGAATACACCTTGGATGACTACCTGTACAAGTGTACTGCTTGATCTTGATCTAGCCTGCATTTGTGTATTTGCAGATGACGTTTTTTTTTTTACTTCATTATTTTTTGTTACCCTCTCTGTAAGGAATCTAGCAAGAGAGATGACTGTATTGCTAAATAAATAAATAAATATAAAGTTTGCCATCATGTCGAATACAATATCATAGAAAATTTGCCAATAGGGAAGGTTCGCTTACCCCCCTCCCCCCCCTTTTCTTTTTCATCATTTGCCTACATCATGCTTTTCTTTTTATTCTGACAGACCACTCAGCCAACGGCCAAGCCATCGACACCAGTGAGCGCCTCTACTTTCTCGTTCCGCCTTGAAGACAACCCAGGAATGAGTCCTTCCTCTGCTACGACACCAGCCGGTGGTTTTTCTCTGGGGGCTCGTTTTGGCTCCTCGAAACAAACGGTGGTGCGCTCACTGTTTGGCAACGTTTCAACACCCAAGGACGGCAGCAAAAACGATGATGATGAAGGTGAGCAGACCATAAATCAATTATTTTGCCGATTGTGACTTTGCATAAGCAGTTCAGTTTTGATTGACAGCATGAGGTGGGGCAGCATATCTCTATGTGATTGTATTGCTTGTTCTTATGGTCCGGAACAAAAAAAAAATATTTTTCCCCGTACCCAAATACAGTTTAATTGGAGTCACTGGGACTGTAAAAAAAAATCTTTGAATTAAGCAGGTTTTCGAAATATCGAACGTACAAAAAGATACTAATTGAAAGTAATCGGAGGTGGTGTTTTGCTGTTCCGGCTAATTTTTGGCTCCAAGGGTTGTATTTTCCAGCAATACCTGTTCCATACCTGCCAAGTCTCCCGAATTGGCCGGGAGACTCCCATATTTGGACCGTTTCTTCCGTTTGTACAGTTGTCGTGAAATTGATTGATTGATTTGTGGGTTTTAACGTCCCAAAACTATGCTATGATTATGAGAGACGCCGTAGTGGAGGGCTCCGGAAATTTCGACCACCTGGGGTTCTTTAACGTGCACCCAAATCTGAGCACACGGGCCTACAACATTTCCGCCTCCATCGGAAATGCAGCCGCCGCAGTCGGGATTCGATCCCGCGACCTGCGGGTCAGCAGCCGAGTACCATAGCCACTAGACCACCGCGGCGGGGCGAGTAGCCGTGAAAATCTCTCGGAAATCGAAATTTTTGTGTGGGATCTGGCCGCCTTGACAAAAAAAGCAGCTCAATCCACTCCAGGCTTTTCGAACCAACCCCATTTCATTATGAATGAGTTTAAGAGGCGCTTATCTAAACGTACAGTAGAATCTCAGTGATGCAAAACCGCGGCAGTACGAATTCGTGAAATTCCTCAGCGAAATTCTACTATGTCTACTGGGCCTAAATTCGAATGTTCTGAACACATTTCCTAATCGCGGCGAACGATACGAACTTTAGTATGGAAATCGTCGAACGAAGGCCGAGAGCAGCATACTCGAAGCTTCGGAAGTACGCATGCGACCGGCGCACGCACTGTCAAATACAGTGTGCGTGATTGTCGTTGCCACAACTGCTGTCGACGAAACTGTGGTCGCTTTTGACGCCATCATGTATAGCCACGACGTAACTGACAGTCCCGAAAGTGTGCATGCGTCCAACACTCAACCAGTCAGAGCAACGCTGCTTTCCGCAAACCCTGCGGACAAAACCGTGGCAGATGCGATCGTAGATGGCATAAAACGACTTTGTTTTGAAGGCGTGTGCGCAGTCAAGCACAGAGACAAGAAGCACACGGACACGAGCGCTTGCACGGGCATTGAAAAAGGAACTACCATTTGCCGCAACCGCGGCGCACAACATCGCGGTCGCGGCTGCGCGATAACGATCTGAGAGCACACAGCGGTAGACTAAAGGCAGTAAATACGTAATAAAAGGTCACAGTTTCGCCGCAAGGGCGAAGCAATGAATGCGACAGCGACAACTTGGAATGTCACACTGAGAACGGCAAGCAAATCGAAACGTGCAGCGCGCTGCTCACGCACAAATGACGCACGAAAACAATACACGCAAGGCGAAAGCGAACTAATGTTTACCGCTCGACACGTAACACGCTGTTTAAACAAAACAAAAAAAGCGATGCTCGATACATAATTACAGGTACGGTTGAGTACAAACTAACAAGTGTCCCAGTTATACCTTGCTGTGTATTAAAAGCGCACTTTTTTCGCAAACGGAGCTTGTGCATAGACCGAAGATACCTTTGTGGGATCTGGCAACTAACGCAATCGTTCCAGTGAAAGCCGAAGGCAAACGATTCTCCCAACTGAAAGATAAGCGCGTGCGCACAAGCATCAACCCCCCCCCCCCCCCCCCCATCCGAGGGGCAAAATACGCGTCAGAAACAAGCGAACGTCGGCGCATTGCGATGTGCTGGGAACCGAGTGGGGGCGGCTTTTTTTTTTTTCTTTCTTGAGTGATAATATTGTTACGGGGATTACAAATACACGGAAGAGAGGAAGCAGTGTATTTGCAATATTTACAGGTAGGTATGACACCCCAGGGCTGCTAGGATCTCACGCGCCAAATCCGCTTCTTCATCGATGCGTCTACGACGGGGCGGAGCCATGCGCACTGTTTTGTAACATCACCCCCAGCGGACGAAGCGCCGTCATCACGGAGCCGCTAAGTCAATCAGGGCTGGCAGTGTAGTAGCGTTTCAGTCGCGACACATGAACAACATCAGTAGGTGGTGTGGCAGAAGATGAGTGTGGTTCAACGGGAGTGATGAGGTAGTCGACGTCAGTGACCTTGCGGAGAACTTTGTGGGGCCCGGTGTATCGTCGAAGGAGCTTCTCACACAAGCCTTCACGCCGATGCGGCGTCCAAAGTAGGATGAGAGAATCAGCAGGGTAGTCAACGTCATGGTGCCAGTCATCGTAGCGGACTTTTTGTGGGGCCTGAGAAGCAGTGAGCCTAGTGTGCGTGATTTGGCGAGCGACGCGGGCTCGAGAAGCAGCGTCCTGAGCATACACCGTTGGTTTGGTAGTATCAGAATGGAAGGAGTGTGTCGAATGGCAAGGCAGGGTTGCGGCCATACAGAAGAAAGAACGGAGAATAGCCGGCGGTGTCATGCCTTGGTGAATTGTACGCAAACGTAACGTAGGGGAGCATTGCGTCCCAGTCACGGTGATCAGCAGAGACGTACATGGACAACATGTCTGTAAGAGTTCGGTTGAGGCGCTCTGTGAGACCGTTGGTCTGGGGATGGTAGGCAGTAGTAAGGTGATGTTCTGTAGAGCAGCTACGGAGGATTTCGTCGATAACTTTTGCGAGGAAGCAGCGGCCACGATCCGTCAAAACCTGGCGCGGAGCCCCATGGCGCAGAATGACGTCATTTAGTAGAAAGTCTGCTATGTCTGTAGCGCAGCTATTTGGCAAGGCACGAGTTATAGCATATCTGGTCGGATAGTCAGTTGCGACAGCGATCCATTTGTGACCCGATACGGACGTTGGATAAGGTCCGAGCAAGTCGAGGCCGACGCGGAAGACTGGTTCCATGGGAATGTCGATAGGTTGGAGCAGGCCAGCCGTACGGAGAGCAAGACGTTTGCGACGCTGGCAGCGCTCGCAAGCAGCGACATAGCAGCGCACAAATCTATACAGTCCAGGCCAAAAGAACCGTTGCCGCACGCGGTGATAGGTGCGTGAAAAACCTAGGTGTCCTGCCGTCGGAGCGTCGTGCAGATGCTGAAGAATGGTGGCACGCAGGTGTCGGGGAATAACTAACAAAAAGTCCGGGCCATCAGGCTTCATGTTGCGGTGGTACAGAATTTCGTTGCGAAGAACATATTGACGAAGCGAAGGGTCAGAATGTCCTGAAGATACTCGCTCAATGACCGTCTTGAGGGTTGCGTCCCGGCGCTGCTTTGTGCCGTTGTCACGCAAATCGGATATGGCGAGCACACAAGAATCACTCTCATGGACGGCGAGGCTAACAGGGTCCACAGGATAATGCGAGAGACAATCGGCATCTTGGTGTAACCTGCCATACTTATAAATTACGTCAAAGTTATACTCCTGGAGACGTAGAGCCCAGCGACCTAGGTGACCAGTTGGGTCCTTGAGCGACGACAACCAACACAGACCGTGGTGGTCCGTAATAACTGAAAACTCCCGGCCATACAAGTAGGGGCGAAATTTCGCTACAGCCCAGACCATTGCAAGACACTCGCTAGACCAACGCAAGAAACTCGCTCTTCGTTATCGAATAGTTTCGCTCAGATGTGGAGAGAAGGCGGCTGGCATACGCGAGGACGGCGCCGATGCCGTGAGCACTGGCGTCTGTGCGAACTTCTGTCGTCGCGGACGGGTCGAAGTGAGCCAATATTAAGTGAGCAGCTGGATCAGCGTGGAAAACGCAGCTGCTTGGTCTTGGCCCCACGAGGAGGGCGCATTCTTTTTGAGAAGATCAGTGAGTGGTCGTGCTATTCTAGCGAAATTGCGTATAAAATGACGGAAGTACGAGCATAAGCCCACAAAACAACGAACATCTTTGGTAGTAGAGGGCAGAGGAAAGTTCTTGACAGCGCTAATCTTGTAAGGGTCCGGTTGGACGCCAGCAGCACTTACACGATGACCAAGGACCGTGATTTCTCGTCCGCCGAAATTGCACTTTTTTGAGTTCAGCTGGAGTCCCGCTCGTCGAAAAACGGCTAGAATGGTCGACAAACGAGTTAGGTGGCTTTCAAATGTTGTGGAAAAGACAATCACATCGTCGAGGTAGCAAAGGCAGATGGACCATTTGTAACCACGGAGGAGAGAGTCCATCATGCGTTCGAACGTTGCCGGGGCGTTGCACAGCCCAAAAGGCATAACCTTGAACTGATAAAGGTCGTCCGCTGTGACAAAGGCAGTTTTATCGCGGTCTAAGTCGTCGACAGAAATTTGCCAATAGCCCGAACGCAGATCTGTAGATGAGAAGTGGTGATATTGTCAAGGCCAGAAGTATCGCGCGCCATGCAGGCAGTCAAGGGCGTCGTCAATTCGTGGCAGCGGATACACTACGTCTTTGCGGGTTATCTTGTTCAAGGCACGGTAGTCAACGCAAAATCTGCAACTGCAACTCTTCTTTTTGACTAAAACAATAGGTGACGCCCATGGACTTGAAGAGGCCTCTATGACTTCTTTGGAGAGCATCTTCTCGACTTCTCGTTGTATGACCTGGCGTTCGGACTGGGAAACACAATATGGTCGCCGTCTAACAGGACTAGCATCGCCGGTATGTATTTGATGACGCATGACGGACGTTTGACCTAAAGGGCGGTCATCGATGTCGAAAATATCTCGGTAGGTGGTCAGAACAGGGTGGAGTTGCGCAGCCTGACAGGGCAGAAGATCAGGGGCAATCGTTGTGATTTCATCGGTAGGTGCTTTTGCTCGGTTGGCTGCAATAGGGGACGAACAGTCTTCAGGGTCTAATGCCACGATGTTACATGCATCAAGTGGGGAAACGTGGCCTAACG